TGTATGTATGTATGTATGTATGTATGTATGTATGTATGTATGTATGTGTTTATGATTATAAGTGCACAGGCCTGTCACACTACTACATAACATGCAGTTTATATAATATATAATATAATGTACGTAGTTGATTTCGTTATGTAGAAAATGCAATAATATCTATGTACTTGGTACATTATTATGATTTGTCTACAAAAATATACGTAAATTAGATTTGATTCAGATTTTTGTAAAAAAAAAAAAAAAAATCGTGGCAATTTGTTAGCTTTATAAAAAAACTTAATATAAAATCGCATGTGTTGAACATAGAAAACAAAAGTAAAAAGTACATTGTTTACCAATTTGATATAAATGTTTTAAATTTTAAAATTGAACGAAAAGTTTTTTTTTTAACTAGTATTTTTCGTTGAAAAATTCAGTTACAATACACCTAATAAAATAATTTTGGTCTATTAATCTGTGTAGTATTTTTAAGATTATGACTTTGTATTGATGCTTATAAATTTAAAAATAATTTTTTTATTTATTCAAAAATAATCTTACTGTTAAACTGTACATAATTCATTATGCATAAAAACAAATTACATTTTATCTAAAGGTTTATCTGTACATTGTACATGGATCTGAAATTAAGTTTTAAGTAATTGTATTTAATTTAACTTATTGAATAAAATACGTTTAAAATGTATCATATTATTATGTAAAATATAATATTATATTGTGTATTATAATATAATATAGTTTACATAATAGTGATCGGTGACGAAATAATGAAGTCGGCCAGTAATAAATGCAACATCAAATAAAATATAGGTCGGTACGTAAATTATTTGTAACTTTTCGTGTTAATGATTTATATACATATGTACATTGTACATTATGAATGAAATTACAATAATACAGATAGACAATAAAGAAAAAATATAAATAATTGTTTTTGTATATATAATCATATCAAATTTATTATAATCGCTTATTCAAAAAACTCGCTTTAGATATAGGATATTATATTTTATATAATTGATGGTATTGTCTCAATGCGTGTTGTTTCCAAGGAAGATAATATTATAATAGTTATGTATCTCTTCGCGTAACTCATACAAAAATAATTAAAAACTCATGCAAATTCACAACCACACAATAAAAAGAAAACATAATTTGATTAGTTGTCTGACCCATAGAGTTTGGTCTTTCTGTGGCAGTATCCAATTGATAAATCATCGTTACAGAAATCGTGTATCTCCAGTTACAAGATCAACTTAAATATTATGTATGCTCAGGCCTGATTTACGATCGTTGCAGTAGATAGTTTCGTTTAGAATCGTGTTTTAAACTGACGTTTTTGATATGTACGTCGCTAACGCAGGAGTCGCATTTTTTTTATTATGACGTATTATCGAAGTCCGATTTCAGCAACTAAATCAATAGATTAAGCGAGATCCATCTCGTAAGCGTGTTCTTCAAGTATTAATCCGATAAATTATGAAATGGAGAAAGAAATAAGAATATTCTTTACAAACTTACTCGTATCGCAACGCTCCCAGCTACGTTAAACAGAACAGTATTTGACTGAAGGTGTATTTAAGTTCTAATTTTGCTGTATGTATTCAGTCGTTTTGCTTTCGTTGATGGTTAAAATTCTAACTGAATATTATTATCGTGTTTCTCTTTTTTGATGCCGTTTCGTGTAACAATTGGACAAGCTGCGAGTCGGGTGCGACATTTATCGTACCGTATTGTATTCAACTGCAGCAGTAAATACAATATGTAATTTTTATCCTCAACACGTACGTAAAAATTGAAAATAATACAATAATAACAATACCCCAATGATGTTGATGGTGAAATAAGATTTTTGATTGACAATACTATTAATATTTATTTATATGTGGGTGTATATTTTATAAATATCGAGATTGAGGAAAAAGAGAAATTAGTTGAAAAAAATGATTTTACCACAAGATAATATAATATTTACACTGTGTCGTCGCCAAAGGGTCTTTGAATTTTTCGAATAATCTATATGTGTTCACTAGGGCGTGTAAAGTAAAGAAAATGCACTTTCATAAATGAAATACAAGACATTATAGACGTTGTTATACATACTAACTTACTTACCTTAGATAGAAACGGTAAACGTAAAATTAAATTATAATTTGTCACGCTTGGGTGTATTTTTTAAGTATTAGAATCCTTTGATTTTTGGTATACTTTTTAATTTGATATCAAATTGTTTATTATTTATCAACATACAAGTTGATTGATTTTTATTAAATATATACAATTAATGATTAATAATTGTATATTATTTTCATCGATTAATAAATTTTAACTATATTTAGTAGACATTTTATTTGATTTAATAAATTACTATTGAAATATACTCATATGTGCCTGTATATTTATAAAAATATCTCAAGTATTTTTGAAATAATTCTAATTATAATGTTGATGATTAACTATTATACCTAAAAATTATTCTTAAACTATCCACGATGGATTAAACTTGACTACATAATACATATGATTATATAAACCTAAAACAAAAAAATTATTAAGTGTTGTGTTTTTTGTATTATAATCGTGGTTTTCCTATTTCCGAGTTCGAGAATTCTATACCTACTAACTATGATATTTATATTATTAACTTAATAGAAGTATACTTAAACATATTATAAAATAGAAGAACATTAAATGTCTTTTAATAAAATTAAAAACGTAAGAGGATTGAATTGAACTATTTATTAACATCTTCTTCACTTATTGTACCTATATAAAATTGGTTTATAATTTATATACTTCTAAAATCATAATATTAATAAGATCGTAGAAAATTTATCAGAACGTCTAATAAATTCTTACTTTATTGTTTTACGCTGTAAAATTTGAAATATTTAACAACAATCTTATTAAATTATTTCACTACGTAAGACGTTTTTATAATAACATAAAATACAAAATGTATACTTAGGTTTGGTGATTTTACAAAAAAAGCCTCAATAGAAATATTTATTTAATAAAATTTTAAGTAATTAAATAAAAACTATTAATTTTTATAATAAGATTACTGTTAAATCATTACACGCAAATCGATAAAACGAATAAACAAACTTTAATTAGCGAATACATTTTTATTTTTATCGCTGTTGTTAATTTGTTCGTCCTGTTAAATATAAATCGAAAACCCTGACTAATTTTATCTTGAATCAAAGTTATTGAGCCTCAATAATACGTGATATCGAAATGGCAGTGAGGCGATGAGTATACAACTCAAAATGAGTTAAATATTGATAAAAAAAAATAGGGAATTTATATAGATTATATAACTTATGACATTTTATGAAAGGTCCACGTTAAAGGTTTAGGTGACTCTAATACATTTTATCGCTGGTCCGTGGCAATCAAGTTTGGCTACTATAAATCGTGGCTCCGTCTTCTTTTTTGTATTGTCTTCGATCGTATATGGCGCCAGCTCCAATATTTTACCAGAACTGCTGTAGACGAATAATTTCAGTCAACGGTTTATCGGTTTAAATTATGTTCCGATAAATTTTTAATATCTAATATTTGGTCAGAAAAATATAGTATTATATAATTTGTTCTAGCGAAAACATCGTTCGTATATTATTATATATGATCTTATCGTAGCTGACACATTTTTCTTAAAGGTTAAGTCTATTCATTTAATAGAATTAGATAATATGGCGTATACATTTAGAGTACACAGACAGACATGATATAAAATAAACCACTCGATCGTGGACATTTGATAAGACGTATTAAAATGTACTAATATATCGTTACTTGTTCGAAACGTGCAGTGTGTCACCATGGATATCATCAGTCATCTAGGGTTTTTTGAATCGTCGAAAATATATTGTTAAATCACATTATTATAATAACAATAATAGGTCCAGGTATTATGATTTGTTGAAATGGCTTCAATTTTCTTTTAAAATAGTTACGCAGGTGATTTTATTTACGAAGTAGCAGCGTCGGGCGAATCTTTTTACCGAAAAATATAAGTTAAGATATTGTCATATAATATTAGTAGACGGTTTCTAAGCGATGATGAACGATACAAAATTTAATAAAAAAATCACTAACCCCACCTTAGGCGTGTACAATTGTTGGCATTTAATTGATATGCGCCGAGTGACATTTTTTCTGATTTTAAGATCTAGGCATTTAAGTATTCAAACATAGAAATAAAAAACTGAACGAAAATTCTGATATGTATTTATATTAATCCTACTATAGATATTTTTATATAATTCGTTTAATATCTATTAAAGTTCAATAATAATAATAATAAAAATAATTATTAAAAAATAGAAAATCGAATCAACCATAAAAATATATAAATAAGATATGGAATTTTCATGGTAAAAAAAATGAGGGTTTTAGGTTGACTCAAATTTTTTTTTAGAAAAAATCGTGATTTACGTACATTTTGGGTTCCAGTTGATAAGGATAAGAAGTTTTAAAGTAAGAAAAATTATGCATTTTGGAAAGGGCAAGACATAGCGCGTAAATTATATTTTGTAAAATTGAACTTAGTTTGTTTAAGGATGGATAGGAGAAAAAAGTCACTCATCAATGCGTGTTTTGATTAAACGACTGCCACGGTATTTAGATGTGTATTATGAGTGTGTATGTATTTTTTTTTACGTTATTGTGTGCTCCGGGGGACGCGTATCTATTGCAGTGGAGTGGTGGTTTGCGTTGGTGGCGGTGTCATCGTCGGGAGTAGCGGCTGCAACGGAGGACCCGGTCTGTTTCGTTCCAGAAGCCTGCCACACCTGTTGGGCAACGACTCAGGCGTGGGCGGCAGCTTCAGTGAAGGCGTCGGTAGTAACGGATTTCCGGAAGGAGGTGTTGGTGGCACCGGAAGCGGTTTCCACGGTGGTGGAGGCGGCGCGCCGTTGCCCGGCCATTGCAGCAAGTCGCAACCCGCTGGCTTATCCGGACTTGGTGACATTCGTCAACTGGTCACGCTTAAGCAGCATTACTATCCCGAGGGTGGATGGGGCTGGGTGGTGGCCGCTGTGGCCATGATCGCGCATCTACTCACTCATGGACTCCATCTCGCGTCCGGTGTGTTTATCCAGGAATTGTTACATAAATTTGGACCCAACACCGTGGTACCTGCAGGTATTGTATATACTACTCACATACCTGTTATAATTATTTAGGGACCTTGATGAAGTACTCAATGTCATGTTGCATATATTGCCATTTTTGAACTGTTTTCAATTCGATCCTAAAATTTACTCCTTTTTTAGATAGATATTAATTTATTCCAAAATCATTAAAATTTATCATTTATCAATGATAATCATCTATAATATTGGCTTTTAATATGGATATTATATTGGTGAAATTTTAAATATATCCAAAATGTGTATAACACTTCTGAGTCATTTCAAATGAAAAAAAAAAAGTCATTTACCTGAGTGTTGGAGGCAATTTGTGTGTACTGTATTGCATTATATTATGTCCACGAATAAAATGTATGCTTAACAAAAAATAATACGCGCTGTATAATATCTAAAATTCATTTAATTGTAATCAATACATTAGGACGATTTAAGAGATACTGTTGGTGGTAATGTATACGTCTGTGACCGAAACATCGGGATTTTAAATTAGATTAACAACCTTCCCCTAATAGGTATGATATATGATCGTGAGAGTGACTTATTTTGGGTTAAAAATCGTATGCCAATACATCATTATGATTATGGCCTTCGTGTGAGAAAGACATTTTTGTAGGTATAACCACTTCAATATGTTATGCTTGTTGCAGTGGCGAACATCGAGATATAATTTTGCATTCGATTTCTGTACGCATTTTAAGCTCATCACAGTACGGTAGTCGTGTTATTCGTGTGGTACATGTAAGTCGTAATATCATTCCAAACGAAATACCTGTACGAAAATCAAATAGGCGAGGCAGATACTCGAATATGGCGTGATTAGGTTACCGCGACCGAATCGTTGAATCCGCTTTTTCAGATTAAAGAATCTTGCAGGATATTTATCAAATTTGATACTCCAAACGGTCCTTATAATAACCTCCGTAAACTTTAACGCCAAGTCGCGACTTATCTAAATGGCAGAGGATTTTCATTATTCTTTAAAACATACATAAATGGAGGTGTTCCGATTGAAATAAATTTTAAATTAAATTATCATTGTATGATTATAATTCTTAATTTTATTGTTTTACTATATTTGTTATTTATTCTTAAGCGTTGTTGACGAATACTAATAACACGGATTAATGACAAAAGTTTGACTAAAATAGTAAATAATCAATTCAGTAATAAACGATTAAAAGTTATTTCTAGTTTAAAAATAAATTATCAGCTTATTTTACGAAACCGTTACATGAGTATATTTAGCTTATTTAAAATTGCATTTAGAATAAAATAAGTAAATTACGTGACTTATTTAATCAACAAAAAAAGGAATTTTTTTAAAAATTAAATTATAAAAAGTTTAGCTTAACTTAAAGTATTAAGAGTACTGTGTAATTCAATTATTCTAAATTATTATTTCTAAAACACAACTAGGTTGATATTAAAAATTTAAAAATATTGTTATTTCGAAAATTTGATACCAGCAACATACATATATTATAAATTATAATCATGTTTTAGAAAATCCTGAATGTTTGTTATTTTCTGAACTTTAATTTTACTTTTGTTGTCGAATTCTGATCAAAAATCTAGGTTAAGTATATTTAAGTATGTTAAAAACAATCAATAATTTTGCAAATGTTATTTTGTTTTTTTTTTGACGTAATCCTAACGAAATTTGAACAAATACATTTTACTATCATACTATAATTATTGTCTAAGTAATTTATAATAAATTCATCAAATATGAGTATAAATATTTTATTTCTTAAAGGTTTATATAACAGTTATGTAATACACGAAAAAAAAATAGTCAAATTTAGTTATTAAATTGATTGGATAATTAAAATAAAAATCAAGGATATTAAAAATAAGTCAATGTTTTAACTACATATTAATTTTTAACTGAAAAATAATATTATAGAAAATGTATTACTAAAATAAAAAAATTATTAGTTGATTATTATAATATTTAATATTATAAAATAGGTATGTCTAGGAATTAAGTAGTATCAAATGTTTATGTTTATAAATTAGTGAACCTGAATTTTTTAATAGTTTGTATCATCATTTTATAAATCCATTGTCCTTCTACTTTATTTTGAAGAAAATTAAAAATTGAATTTTAAAATTTACTTAGTATTTCTATAATATAATTTAGAATTTAGTATAGGTATTTAAAAATAGATATTATGTAAAAATAATAATAGTACAATAAAAATATTTAATATTCTATTTCTGTACACAAATATCTATATAAATCTATTAACAATAAAATATGATTTTAGAATATTTAAAAAAAGTTACTAGATTATTCTAAGTAATCAAGCTTACTTACTTTATCGGGACTGGAAATGGAAGGCAATTAGTGTTTATATATTATTTGCATATTTGTTTGATGATACAATAAAAAACGATTTGGTTATAACTTATAATATGAATTAGAAGATTTAAGTGAACCACTGTTAATTATTTTCTCAATAATAATTGAACACATAGTCTTATTTTTCAAAATTTTAACATGATAACAAATTTTATCTATTTAATTATTGCAAAGCAAATAAACGATTTATGAGTCGAATTTTAAGATACAAGTCACATAACTCATGTTGTTTAAAACAAAACAAAAAAATAAAAATAATATTTGCATATTCAATTAATATTATGACCAATTAAATGTTACTTAATTGAAATTGATACATATTATAATGTTTCATATCATTTTCAGTTATTGTATTAATTTAAAGATACTTAACATATGGAATAGTGTTATATATTGTAATGCATTTATATTTTAAAATATGGTACACCAATAATGATTAGAGTAATTCAAATATTATAAATTATATAATTATATATTTCTCGTAACATTTCAAATTCTTGTTTTTTTAAAATAACTATAACTAATGATAAACATTAAATAAATCAGTTTTTTCCTTATAATAATTTGTCATAAATAAAAACAACATGCGCTCTACGACGTGATAAAACCATTATGAAATTTAAACGTATGATGCACTTTGTTAAACACTATTTGTAATATTATATCATATTTTGTTATACTTGAACAGCTGATGTAACCTGTGATGGTTTCTGCAAATATAAACAAGTATGTGGTTTAACTTTCGTGCTCAAATAATCTACATATTTTATATAGATCGTATATTGAATTCAATTTATCATAATATTAAACTGGTTTCATTTCCAGTTTTTATGGATTTTATTAATAATTTGTGTTCAAGTGTACAAATTAAACTGTACATTTTATATTTTATAGACATAAAATAAATATGTATATAGATTTGGATTACGATGCGAGTAACGTGGCCTAGATATCGCAGTTATGAGAATATTTATTGGTAATTTTTCGAAAACAGTTGATATTTTTGTAGTAAATTTAATTTACGATCAATATGCAAATGTATATTGATTTTGGTTTTGTATATCATATATATATATATATGTGTGTGTATTTAACTTTCTACTATTTTATGATATTAATATAATGACACCAAAAATAGTAAATTATAACAAAAAATTATGTATTTTAATAGTTAATTATAAATTTGAACGTGATAAAATAATTTAGTTGAAAAAAATTACTGTCATAATATTATTATAAGAAACATAGTAGAAAGGTTAACGTTAGGAAACATGTTACTGCTTGGTAGGTCAAACAAATGAATATTATAGTTTTAGTTTTGAAAGAGCCGCGTTTCGTGGGCGCAATGACTCGCTACGTCTGTCGGCGTGTAAACAACTTGGAAGGATCATAAAACTGGAATATCCTTTTCTAATACCCAAATTAAAATTACCGGCAATTCTGGTTTAGTTACTACTAAATGCATAACACATTATTAATTATTAAAATGTAAATATTAGTTCGATCGTTCTTCGTTTCAGTATTGGGCGCGCAAAATTACCTGTCATGTGAATCACGTGAATTTAATAATTAAATTATGTGAATTGAAAGGAACAAATTTCTGTCGAATTTTTGATAAAAGCCAATTTTCTTTGCTATAAAAAATACGTAGTAATGTAGCACGTATAGATGACATAATATTAGTTTTGCCGTCTCGCGAAAACAGACCATAATAATAATAATATGTATGATCAATAATAACGCGCAATTTATTATTGTGTCCGTCTTAAGACGTGCGGCCAAACGAATGTATAGCCGACGCATTCGTTGTTATTATTTTAATATCAACGTCAGTTAATAAAATGAAAAGCGACGGATGATTTATGCGCTCTCGTGGTGGTCGTTAAGCAACCGGTCTGGCGAAAAAGACAATAACACATACTCCCACTGGCCTTACTGTGCTGCCTGCGTGCGTAATGTATTTACAATTGAAACGGTTTAGGTGTATCCTGGAACAATAGTTTCGAAACCATCGTCGAACTCCGGTTCAGTGGATTATCATAAAACAATATTATAATAATAATACGACATTAACGAGATATTTCGATGTCGGTGCACGAAAACATTAATAAACGAAAGTTATCGGTTTTATTTTTTTTAAAACAATCTTTTTCAACACGAAAAAAATCTAAAACGCGCACTTAGTACACAACGTATAATTAAACATTATATCAGCGTACATGACAAGTAAAAACTCAATTAACATCAATTCGTATAGAACAACCTGAACAACTTAGGAGAATAATATGCATATAATGCGTTTGGGATATAACTATACGAACGTTTTTTTAATTTTTTTGTCCGTTCTCTTTGCCCACCTATAATAATAATATAAAACATGACAACATGATTAGCTCACCATGCCACCTTAATTTTTTTTTTTTTTTTCGTTATTTTAAATTCTGATTTTTGGAATTTGTACATATACTTAAGAGTTTTATTTTTAAATGTATTTAAAATGTTTATACCATCCAAGGAGTATTCTATGATAATACAATCGAAAACCACATTTTTACTACATATTATTATAACCCTATTTATTTTAATAATTTGACGATTTATTTTTAAGTTTATGTATCAAGAGTAAA